TCGACCACATGTCAAGTTTGAATAAGACATAGCTTTGAGCTAATTGATAAAGTTTTGTCTTGAAAAGAAGAAAAATCTGAAATAAATGTCTATATGAAAATCGAATGATGAAGAAAAGTTAGCCTAAGATTTGGGTGTAGGTGAGAGTAAAGAAATTAAACCCACACCAACACCCTATTGCCAATTACAAAGTAAAAGAAATGAACAGTAAAAGTAATGTAGCACCCCTACTAAATACAAATGCTATAGCAGTAATCACCGTGAAATAATATCGGAATCGAAACAGAACAGTTGAATACACTTGTTATGAATCTATACGAAAGTAAATAATGAAACGAATATGTAAAGAGCCGGCGCTTTTATATATTTTTTCTCTATAATTTTATATCATACATAAAATATCCTTTTTCGTTTTCTATTTTTATCCTTCATCTTAATAAAAAAAACAAGCAAGCAATTATATAGGAAAAAGTACATATCGCCATTTTTATATTATGTATATGACACGTATCACTTATGATGACTCTAAATAAGAAAAAAGAATGTGGATGGTTGATCATATTTTTCACATTAACGAAAGGCAAGTACGTTATTACACAACCATGGTGACAGCGTGACATATCTCCAGTCATCGCTATTTTTGAGTAGATTTCTAACACGTGACTTCTATTGTTTCAAACAGAAATTTGCTTTTTTTCTATAATTGCTATGAATTGTTATGAATTGAAATATAAAATATTCACTTTAATACATTAATCTTATAGAATATTAGAAAAGCAGAAATGGGAACTTTCATTTTGTTGATATAATCTTTATAAATAAAGATATAGAATATACTGACTTCTATCCATTAATCTTACAGTGTATCGTAATAAAGAAATGAGAGGTTTACTTCTGTATATTTATATAGAAAAGTGAGTTTCTCCTTGAAAAAATGAAAGTAAGATATTAGAAATCCACTAAAACGTAATGATGACAGGCAATTTGTTGCGCCATCAGCTCGGTTGTGTAACAACATACGTGCATTTTGTTGATGTAGAAAAAATTATCAATGGGTCATATTTTTTTTTCTTATTTACAATCACAATAGGTAATAAGCGTTACGTACATGATAAAAAATGAGATATGTATTTTCTTTTTCATGTAATTGCGTGCTTGTTTTTCTCTTCAAATCAACGACAAAAAATCGAAAATAAAAAGAATATTGTATGTATAAGTGAAGCTTATAAAGAAAAAATATATGACAGCGTCTTTTCTTTACATATTCGTCTCATTATTTGACTTTAGTTAGATTGACAGCAAGTATGTTCAACTATTTTGTTTGGACTTTGATTGCATTTAATTTGTATCAATCGAACGATATTTTTTGTATTTATATCAGACATATATATTATCAACTATTATGTGTTTCTAAGATAATAATTCATAAATAATGATACCAAAGCAATGTTTTTATACTATTATTGTATGAGATAGCTTCATCTATGAGTACACATACGAAAAAAATATCTTGTTTAGTGTACTATACGATTTTCTAGCGTCGAAATTATTACTTTTAGTATTTTCTAAGTAAATTTGAATATTTTTTTAGAAAAAAATAATCAATCTATTATTTTCAAACAGATACTTATAATATTCTATTTCTTACAATATAGTTGAATTTGTTATTGATATTAAATAATCAATATTTTTTTGAATATTTAAATATTAAGTTATAAATTATTCTGTTAAATAATCAATATTTATCATTCGTATTCAATCTAATGTATTTATTTTAATAATTACCATAAAATAATTTTTTCATTTTCATTAACGACACAAAATAAAAATAATTTATATCAATTATTTTCTTTTTCTTTTATTTTACTTATTCGATATGCATTAATTAATGTGCATTGCCCATAATCATTATCGATTGCTCGTTTCCATGATATATCACATGTTTGTCAGACTTTAATATTAAATTTTGAAATAAAAAAAAAGGGAACGACCTTGATGACTATTTAAACGATAAACAAGTAATTGATCATGATTTGATGGAAGAATAAATTTATCTTGTGAATAATATTAAAATAAGAATTAATCTTGTTTGATACAGAAACTAGTTTATCAAAATTTAAGAACAAGAAAAAAAAATATATTTAAATAATTTTTTTTATTTAGTTGTTCTTCAATGGAAATGATCTCCACTGATTTAAATTATTACTGTTACTTATTCTACTATAATTAATTCTATTTTTCATGTTTTATAAATTAATTTGTTCACTCTTATATTTTTATATGATAACTATAAAAGAACAACAGAAATTAATTTTCTCTTCGTTATGAAAGCAAAGAAAAGGATGATGTCTCAGACAGCCAAGATCGTCAAAAAATAAAACACGTCTTTGAGATTGTTTTGTCAAATTATATCGTATTGGAAATTAATTGAAATGTTTGAGCGCGATAATTTGAGACAAAATAAACCGGTTTTTATCTATTTATTCTACAGATGATTTTAGTGTATTCAGATTTAACTCGTTATATCGTGTTTTTGACTCTGCTGCATTATTAGATAAAAATTGTTGGATTGTTTTTTATGTATGATTTAAATTTAACACAATCGGACAACAAAATATTTGAATTAATTGCTTTTGTAAATGGGATAATACAATTTCTTAAAATACATAAATAAAATCGTTCATGAACTTGTTTTTTTCGTGGAGATTCGTTTTAAAAATATTTTTTCTAGATATTTTCTGTACATTTGAGTTTTCTTGTAACATCATTTAAATATGGTTCACTTCAAAAAGATGGAGACCTATATTTTTCATTATTAATCCATATAAAATGATTTGCTGGAAAAAGATCGCAAAAAAAAATATCGAAACGCTAAATGTCGAAAAAATAATATTCCAATAATCAAATCTCGAAAGATGTTCTATTACTCTGTTGCTAACAAGATAGTCTCATACAGACAGTACTACCATTTCGAGAATCTCCCTTTCTTTTTCGTTCATTTAGTCTTGTTGTCTGTATTTACCATCTTGAGGATATGAGTGTGAGTGTATCTTATTAATTTCACCCACACCCATACCCTACAAAATGAATTTTATAGATTGTTTCCGATATTTTTTTGTTTTTGATATTATAATTAAAAGAGATCACGGGTGTAGATAATAATGTACTTGAATAACCAGTACCAACATCCACATTTTACATTGTTTGTAGTTTCTTTTGTATTTAAAAATATAAGAAATAACTTCCTTCGTTTTTTGAGGGTGTGTGTGGTTGGAATAATTTAGAAGTGGAGTCGACTTTAAAACTCGTAGCGACCATATATGGAACAAAATTTTTAATCAAATTAGTTCTAATATTGAAGCAAAGAAAAAACAGTAAATTCCATTTTGTTTTAGTGAGGATTGTAAAATCTATTCTAATTTATTTAATACGGTTTTGATAATTTCCATATGATAATAAGTAAAAGTATACTTATGTGTATTATAAGACATTTTTATAAATGTTTGGTAAGTTATGATTCACATTGATACATGTGTGTATAATTGTTATATATATATATATAAGAACGACAAAAGAGTATTGTATTCATTTTCCAGTATTCGTTTTATTCTCAAAATGACATTGTTTTTATCGTTCTATATCGACGCTCTTTTAATAAGCCAAGGTAAAGATACGGTTTTTTCCCTTATCTACAATAAAAAGCAATATATAAGCACATGTACAATACATGAATATATTTGTTTGTTTTAAGATAACGAAAAAAGGTACACATACGTTGATAAAAATTGAAGGTATTTTTTGTAAGTTGATTTATTGTCCTCTGATAATTTTCAGGATATGCGTATGGATAAGAGAAGGATCAGAATATTATCTTCATCATTTTTTGTTACTATAAATTCGATAAAAACATGTTTTCGTCAATTCTGAAAAGGGATATGTGACTATTATTGGAAGAATAAATCGAGTGGTATCGTTGAAATAATATTATTGTTAGTTATCATTCTTTTTTGTTTTTCAAAAATGCTTTGTGTAATATTCAGTGAAAAATGATTTCTGTTCAATCAATATGAAATAAGATATATTATAAACTTTAGAAGACATATTTTCTTATGGATTCATTTTTAGATACTTTATAGTTTAGTTATATCCTAAACATGTCGCCGATAAACACCACAACAGAAGAAACAAAACAATTACGAGATTTATATCCCGAAATTGAACCATATAAAACTGGTATGTTGAAAGTATCTGAAATTCATACTTTATATTATGAAGAAGTTGGAAATCCTTCTGGTAAGCCAGTAGTATTTGTACATGGTGGACCAGGTGGTGGTACTGATCCACGTGATCGACGATTTTTTGATCCAGAAGCATATAGAATTATACTTTATCATCAACGTGGTGCTGGTGATTCAACACCACATGCATGTTTAGAAGAAAATACAACATGGGATTTAGTTGAAGATTTAGAAAAATTACGGAAACATGTTAATGTTGATAAATGGATTGTATTTGGTGGTAGTTGGGGATCAGCATTATCTTTAGCTTATGCTGAAACACATCCTGAACGTGTGAAAGCATTAATATTACATGGTATATTCTGTTGTCGTCGTAAAGAATTATTATGGTTTTATCAAGAAGGTGCTTCAATGATATTTCCTGATGCATGGGATAAATATTTAGAACTGATACCTGTTGGTGAACGTGGTGATTTAATTTCAGCATATCATCGTCGATTAACTGGTAGCAATGAAGAAGAAAAGTTAAAAGCAGCTACAGCATGGTCAGTTTGGGAATTATCAACGTCACGTTTATATGTTGATCCATCATACATCGCTTATGCTACTGATGATGCAAAATTTGCTATTGCTTTTGCTCGTATTGAAGCACATTATTTTGTAAATGGAGCATTTATGAGTGATGATGAGCAATTACTTAAAAATGCTGATAAAATCAAAGATATACCAGGTGTGATAGTTCAAGGTCGATATGATATTTGTTGTCCAGCTCGTTCAGCTTGGGATTTACATAAAGTTTGGGCAAAAGGTGAGTTACATTTTGTTGATGATGCTGGACATTCAACAAGAGAATCTGGAATTGTTCATGAATTAGTTATTGCAACAGATAAATTTCGAGATTTATAAACCCTAAAATATTATAGACATTTGATTATTATTTGTTTCTTTTTTTCTATGATTGATTCTTTACTTCTGTTGTATCATATAGAAGTATTTTGTGTTCTTATGCAAATCTTCAAAATAAAATAAACAAAATCTAGAGTTATAAATTCAATTTATTTCTATATCAGTTATTGAACAATTTTAAAAAGAAATCACTTCAAAACAAAAATCGAAAAAAGACAATTTTTGCTTTGGTGAGAGTGTGAGTAGTGAATGAGAAGACTGCACATACCCACACCCACACGATTAAAGTATAGAATTATGATAATAGAAGAACTAGTCATATTAATTATTCAATATAATTATCATAATTTTAATGAACTCGTTTCTAAAATCTATAGATGAGATTTATTGACACTATCAAGCTCTCTCTAGAGACAACTTCTTCTGAAGTCTGATAGTATCAGGTAGGAAAAACGTTCTTTGATAAGTTGATATCACTCATTTGTTCATTGGTTATATTAGCTTGCACGAATCTAGATTTGATGAGAATTAAAAATGTGAGCGTAGGAGAACTATAATATTTACGTCTCCACTATTAAATTTTGTTTGATCAGATGGTTTAATTTATAAATAAGCGATCATAAAGCAATAAAGTGAAGACATCTATAAAGTTTTATTAATACAATTATAAGATATAAATATTTGCAATCAAATGTGTCACATGCTTCGGCATTACAACTTTTCAAAAGGGAAAGAATACAAAAACGATTAGTAGCTAGACTAAAAATAATCTACGGATTAGAATATGACAGATGAAATAATGAATAAATTTGTTAGATTGTAGTAGCTGACACTATATTTAAATTTAGGTTGCAACAGAATCGAAATGGTGTTTATAATCGTTTGAATTAGTGATATAATCGACAAACTTTTCTTTTGGTACGCTAAGAATAAAATAAAATAAATAATGACATTAGAAAAATAAGAAAAATTACTTACCGACCACTCTCGTCACCCAGTTTGCTCCAGTGAGATTCCCAAACAGTCGACGCTGGCTTCGACCATTCATCTGATGTTGTATCTTTCGATTTTAGCCAACTAGAACAAGAGATAATAAATACAGTTAATGGAAGAAAAATCAAATTAAACAATGGAAAATTAGCAGTACTAACTTGTTATATCTATTGAGACGATTAAATACTCGTTCACCTTGTTCTTGTGTTATGAAACCTTTAAATGCACAGAGAAGTAATCATAATTTTGAAAAAAACAATTTTTTCCTTTACCAGGCGTTGAATTGTCTTGATCTAAAAGATAGTTAAATCGATCGCGAAATGTTATACCATCTTTTGACATATCAGGATGATGAGTGAGCATTAAATAAGCTTCAGCAAATTCTGTTAGTAAGAAAAAATAGATTGTATTTCTTCAAAAATACCATTTGAATATTGATTTACCTTCGAATGTTAGCATACCTAGGTTATATATAGATCATTAGTAAAACAATTTAATAAATAATAATGTAAATTATACCTGTTCCATTAAGATCATAAGTATCAAATACATAATCAGACATCTTATCTAAATCGTGTTCAGTAAAAAATGTTGGTAGAGCACTAGGAAGACTGCTCGCATGACTGTTTATATACATTTTCTTATATAAATGACGAAATTCTCTTTTATTCATTTTGTTATCATTTCCTGTGACGTTACTAAACTCTTTATGAATCTTTTGAACCATTGATAAGGAAATACCTATGTTCATCAAGAGAATTTTTGATAAAGAATAATAAAAAAAAATAGTTGAATATTCACCAGTAATATCACTAAATTTAATCAAATCCCATTCAGTGAATGGCTTCTTCGAATTGCCACCGCCCATTGTAATATTACGCGCAAAGAGAAAAATGTAGTATGATAAAACTAGAGTCAGAAATAAAGACTAGTATTGTGAAGCGACACACGTGCTTGTATGGGATGAAAAAATAATACTGTTCTCTTTTCTTTTTTTTCCTTTCTTTTCAGTTTTTTATAGTAATGTTTCCATGAGTGAAGGACATCGTTAATAAACAGATCGCTCGCGTCTCATATGACGCTACTTCTCTTGAATGGATGAGAATGAGAAAAAAAAGAGAAAAGAAACAACATGAGTTCATGCAATGATTTTTTTTCTTCCTTCCTGTTATAGGAGACGTTCTATTACGATCGTCCTGTCTTAATTTTTAATAAAAAGAACTACAAATACTACAACGAAAGAGAAAATCGCTCATATCTACTACTGATTTATTATCGAGACTAACTCTAGTATAAATTAGTTTCTATAAACAGTCATACTCTCAATTAATTGAATAATTTTTTTTTTACTAGTACGTTGTTTTTATTCAAATAATAAATATTGCGAAGCATTTTTTATCTTTTTATTAATGAATATTATAACGAAACATTATTCTTTTTCTCAGTTATCTTATTTCAACTATCATTTTCCCATTGTCACAAAGAAAAATAATAAGTATAGTCTTGATGTTATGTTTTGGATTGCATAGCTTTAAGATCAGCCAAAAGATCTTGTGAAGTTTCTTCACCCTTTTCGGCGCGCTCCTCGAATGTCTTCATATTTTTTGCCAGCCATTCAAGTTCTTTTCCCGACGCAGGAAGCATGATGCCATCTTCAGCGATATTTTCCGATTTCACCTCATTCAGAGCTATAAAGTGGCAACGTTCGCCTACAATTGTCAACCATGCCTCATTGATCTGATTGATTAAGGCTTCCCTTGCTTCTGCAGATCGATCAGCTCGAATGTTACCGATAATTCGTGATTTATGTCGAAGTTTGTTATTGACGAATTCAACCTATTTTTCAACGAAAAAAGAAGATATACTAGAAATGGTATGCGTATCGACTTACATTATCATCAGTCGTGTGAAACACAACATTGACAAAGGAAGGCAAACCACTGGTTATATCACAATGAATACGTGTGATTTCTTTGCATATTTGCTCTTTTTGTTTCATATTAAGTAATGCTGTTGGATGTTCGATGATATATAGAGGCATGTTAAACTGATACTAAACTGTAGATAGAATAACTGTCAAGTGAAACGATTGTTATTATATACGTGCATTTTTTTTAAATATTTTTTTTCTTCTTTCTAGTGTCATGCTCGTTCTTATCTGTGCGCGCCGATTGACCGACAGTTATGCGCGCACGACGGTTGAACGTATAGACACTTGCGCGCGAATTGAGAAAAAGATGATAGAATATATTTTTCTTAAATTTTATTTGAATTATGAACGGACGGAAATTTTGCCTAGCTGCTGATAAAAAAATTGTTCTTAATTTCAAAAAATATATTGATATAAATTATTATCAGAGATAAATAGTATTTATTTACAATAAACAAACAAATACGCTAAGTGAACAATAACTAAGAATAAAGAATGTACTCGTTTAAAAATTAAACACTAATCTGGCTATTTTAAAATAATCCTTTCTAGAAACTGTATGAAATTCTTCGACTGTGTTTCGTATTCGAAGATCAATTTTTTCATATTTTGTGCGTTGGTCTTTGCCTTTGACTGATTTATTTTGTTTAGTTTTAATCTCGTTCTGATGCAAAAAGCAAGTTTGATATTAAAATTAGATAATCTTTTGATCCTCATTAATATCTTCTATGTATTTTCTTAATAAACCAATCTCACTAACAGAACGAAAAGAATTTTTTTTGCGCGTAACTGACGTGTCACGGAATATTACGAAGCATTTTTATCTATGAATATTATAACGAAACATTATTCTTTTTCTCAGTTCTTATCTTATTTCAACTATCATTTTCGCATCGTCACAAAGAAAAATAATAAGTATAGCCTTGATGATAAACCTTCGTCCTGTTACAATCTCTGATGTTAAAGATATTCTCCGTATTCATTATGCTGCTGTTCATGGATTAGCAACATCAACCTTTTATTCCCAGAATGTTCTTGAAAGTTGGTCACCCTCGCCCACAAATGAACGCCGTTTGAAGCAGTTCCATCAAGCGATACAGGACAATACAGAAATAATTATGGTCGCTGAATCGACTGAGACTGGTATAATTATGGGATTTGGTTCTGTTGTACCTTCTCAACAAGAACTTCGTGCAGTCTACGTCGATCCAACATTCGCTCGTCGAGGTGTTGGCACGAAAATTATAACTAGTCTTGAAGAGCTCGCTGTACATCATGGTGCACATAAACTGCATTTGGATGCCTCACTCAATGCTGAAAGTTTTTATTGTCGTCATGGATATTCAATCGTAGAACGTGCTATTCACAGGTTAAATTCAGGTATCGATATGGAGTGCATTAAAATGAGCAAGGAGCTACACCTACATTAATTTAAATAAAAATTATTCGAAAGACATGATTTGTTTTTTGAAAAATAAACAGTTTTATTAAATATTAATATATTACTTGAAAAATCTGGTGAAGATAAATATAAGTCAAGAATGCACATTAATTATTTTATTTTGAGTCTTATTTAGTTAGTTTTAGTCCATTGACGTGAATTCTCAAATAGTATGCGTACAAGCTTCTGCTTTTTCCTCGCATAAGAGAGAGTTGATGTTTCAGTTTTTGCAATTTCACTTTTCAAACTCGCATATCTATCTCGATCTATTTGATTCTCGGTTAAATATTGAGAAAAGTGAATAGTATCTCGAAGCCATTGATGCGACGGCGGTAACACTACATGAAGATCAAATCCGTAACCTTTTAAATCAATTTGATTCTTTGGTGTTATATTAAAAAACCAATGATCTTGACAGGATATCGAATGTGGAGCAGCTCCAACATTCTTCACAAAAAGTTTCAGGAAGATATTTTGTTGCAACTGCAATTGCTACATCATGCATTGGTTTAGCTAATGCAATTTTTTCGATCGAAGTTGAACCAATATGAACAATACCATCTGGTGAAAGTTCTTTATGAAAAATATGTTTCCATTTTGATAGAGTTATTTCATTTAAACGAGATTTTTCTTTTTCAAATTCTTCTTTCCATTTTGGTGTCCATGGTTTAAGAATAAGTTTATCATCTTTTTGAATCTTATGTAGATTTATAAATGTTTGAAACAATGAACGTCTTTCATATAAAGTCCAGACTATCATTATAAAACAATATAAGACGATTATATGAATAGCATACTCGCTCAAACCACATAAAACAATTAAATTATATAAAAATAATAAGAAAATGATATGACATATCTTTCGTGTTCTCGAATGATGCATTAAACCAAGTGCCATGAAAAATGATAAAATCCATATTTTAATTAATTTCAAATCCATTTTGATGTCAATAATAATCTACTAATCTATTTAAAATAATGTAATTCAATAATTCTTAAAAATTAAAATTAAAAGTTCATAGAAGATATTCATCTTACATGGTAGTATACGTTTCTCTATTAAGTCAATACTTTTTTTTTGCAACGATGATAAAATAACCTGTAAAATGCTTGTGTAGTCGTTCTTATCGATAACGAAAAAAATTTGCCTGTTCTATGTAGAACAAAGAATAACACAATCTTCTGACAGTTTTGAAAGTTGGTTTTTATCGTCATTGTAGAACATAATAACACAATGGTGTAAGATATAATGCTCAAAATTTAAAATTCGAGCACTGATTTTTTTTACTTAGTTCGATGCAGCTCAACAAGTTAAATCAGAATATATATTTAGTAAGCCTAGAAAAAAACTACAGTTTTTAGAGCAGTCATATCCTCAAGATGATGAGACAAACAGAAAATAGAGATTAATTAATTAAAAGACCATGTTTATGAAAAATGTATCTCTCAATAAAATAAAACTAATAGTTTTCGATGTATATCAAAACAGCTCAAATACAAAAATTATGACATCGTATTAATTATAAAACGTTCGTTGAAAGAAATAGAACATTATATCTTGGATTGCATAGCTTTAAGATCAGCCAAAAGATCTTGTGATGTTTCTTCACCCTTTTCGGCCCGCTTCTCGAATGTCTCCATATGTTTTGCTAGCCATTCAAATTCCTGTCCCGCCGCAGGTAGTAAGATGCCATCTTCAGCAGCATTTTCCGATTTCACCTCATTCAGAGCCACAAGGTGGCAACGTTCGCCTACAATTGTCAACCATGCGTCATTGATCTGATTGATTAACGATTCCTTTTCTGCTGCTGATCGATCAGCTCGAATGTTACCAATAATTCGTGATTTATGTCGAAGTTTGTTGTTGACGAATTCAACCTATTTTTTAAAGAAAAAAGAAGATACAGTAGAAATGATTTGCATGTCGACTCACATTATCATCAGTCGTGTGAAATACAACATTGACAAAGCTGGGTAAAGCACCGGTTATATCACAATGAATACGTGTGATTTCTTTGCATATTTGCTGTTTTTGTTTCATATTAAGTAGTGCTGCTGGATGTTCGATGATATATAGAGGCATGTTAAACTGATACTAAACTGAAGATAGAACAACTGACAAGTGAAACGATTGTTGTTATATTTCTGCATTTTTTTAAATATTTCTTTTCTTTTTTATATTATCATGCTCGTTCTTATCTATACACATCATACAGAGCTAGGCAAGTACGGACTTTCTCGAGTACGAGTACGTACGAACAAAATCGTACTTGAGTACTTTGTCCAGCTCTGGCGCCACAGTTTTTGATGGTTTCAACTCTGATAGAGTGCGGGTATGGTGTTTATAATGTTACTTGATTTTTATCACAGATAAAAGAATAAATTCTTTTCTTTTGAATACTTTCCATGAAAACTAATTAACAAAGTTCTTAAAATGAATGTCATTACCCGAGTATTAGTTCTCTAATTTCAACGTATAAGTATCATTCAATTCAAGTTATTTCTTTTACATATTGTCAAACTACTGAATAAATAAAGAAATAGAAAAAAAAATGATAATTTGCGAAGTTTTATTAACTTCGTATTTTACAAGAATAAAAGCAGTAAAAATCATATTTATGTATCAGATGTCCATAGCGACTGAAAATCAGCCGCTACTGTGATGTTATGAATAATGTAGTCTATAAATCTTCCTTTTTTATTGGTTGAACGCTGCAATACGTATACAAATGTGCTGAGAGAAGGAGACTCTTTTGAATCGGAAACATTTATAATATTTGTGATAAAAATAAAAATAAAACTTTACAAAAACTCAACCACTGCCGCATGAACGTCTCGGTGACGTATGGATTACGATATAAATACTTTCTGAAATCTAAGCATCTTCATATATCACACGTCATTTTTTCAGTTGAATGATAAAAAAAAACGTTGAATTTGTTAATTTGCGAATCAAGTACAGGATTCATCTTCATATAAATAGACTATTCTTCACCGAATGTAACAAAAAGAATCCATGTCGAAATATTGATATAATTAAGTAATAGAAATTTGAGATAGTATTTAGAAAAAATTGAATTATTTATATTATTGTTGCTACAACTACATTTGGTTGTCTATTTATTCTTTTCATTATTGATGTTCGAACTGGATCAGTAAATTTAAATAAAGCAATCATAACAAATACTAATGATATTTCGATAAATGTCAAAGCAATACGAAAATGATATTTTGGTGGTGAAGTAAAATATCCCATGAACACAAATATTGTATAAGGTATACCAAGTATTAAGAAAATTGATATAAGTATAACAATTCGAAAAACCATTTTTAATTCTTTCTTTGCACGTAATAATCTATTTACTAATGTAACACGTTTATTCATTTCTTTAACATATCGAATTAATTTCAAATAAATAAATACAATACCATTTATTGGTATTATATAAACAAAAAGTGGATTATAAACTGTTAAGAAAGAAAGATGCAGTGGTAGTTGACATATTTGATCATCAACAGAATATTTGATCGCATTAGTAGCTATTTGTGGACATGCATAAATAAAAGCAGCGATCCATGTTAAAATAATGAGCAAAAATTGAAATTTTGCTGATTGCCAAAATAAACGAGTTGGATAAATAACTATTAAATAACTATGAATCGCTTGTAAGAAATAAGAATACATTGTTGCAAAACAAGTAACATAACCCATATAACCTCGAAAGTTACAAAATAAATCTTGATAATAAATTTGTTGAAGATCATTATAAAGTGTAAAAATTGTCACCCAAAATAAAATAAGCGTTAATGAAAAACCAGAAAAACATGAATTAGTAATAAGTATCATAGGAACAGTATGACATGTTTTATCGGTTAAAACAATACATAAAAATAATAATGACATTAAAATGGCTAGAATAATACATATAAGTGCTAGAATATCGACAAGAATAAACCATGATTGGTTAATTATGATTGAAGTATTAGAATCTTTTAATAGAGAAACAAGAAAAGTTGTTGTGTTCATCTATGAAATGATGAAAAAGAAAGGAAGAAAAATGTATATATATAACGAGAAATTATCGATGCGCAAGATTTTTTTTAAATTAACAATTATTTTAGTTTAGATATTACGCATAATGAAAAACAGACTTTTTTGTTGCTGAACAATACAAATCTAATATTATCTGCAAGTGGAAAACTTTGTTGTATATATTTATAGAAGATTGCAATTTATTTAAAAAAAAGAATAGGAATTATGTTTTGGAGAGAAAATGTACCCAAATCTTGTCAATGAAAAATCCAAGTTTGCATAGTAGTATATCATTTTAAATAAGAAGCAAGGTAATGTATAATGTGAAATTCGTTGTTGACTATCTGGTCATCGGTAATTACTAATTAGAAACATTCTGATCGACTAGAACTAAATAATTGCAGATTCATTATCTTCGTTCATGCTTTCTTTCCATAGATATATCTATAAGATTCATAAGTAAAATATATTTTGATTGATCTTTATTACATTTTTTATTAAATATACGCATATTTCAGATAAAAGATTTTAGTTACAAATCAAGGAAAACAATATACTTAATAGTATGCATGTCGATACAGTTCTTTTACAAATCTATTCCTTTCATACCTAATCAGTTTCTAACAATTTTTCGAAATAATTTGAAATATTCTAATACTCAGTTATACATAGAAAGCATATAGTTTATTAGAAAAATCACTCTTGACATGCACAACATCAAATATTTAATATCAAAAACAAAAAACTTCAGTAAATTCAGTTATATGAGAATAAAATGATTTTTCATAAAAATTCAAAATATAGTATGAACCTTAGAAGAAAAAAAAAAGATTTGTCTGTTAAATTGTTACAAATTAGCTGATTGTTTTGCTCGTTGCCCACATAAAATCAAATAGGCAATGCAGAGTTAGTATCGCCAGTTGAATAAATAAAATTATATTATAGAATTTGTAGTAGGTTTAGTTCATTGACTAGACAAAAAGCAAATGAATAATAAATACATTGAAAGCATTAGAAAGAGATTAATGAATGGATGAATAAAATGAAAAATTAATTGTTGATAAAAATCATAATGAAACAAAATGATAATACTAATAATTTTGAATTCAAATTACGAATTGCAAATGAATGATTTGATGATTGAGAACTTGAAGGCATTGTTGATGATAATTTTGTTATTGTATTAGTTGAACTACTCATTTGTGATGTTGTGACCAGTGTTGACGTTGAAATTGTTGTTGAGGGTGTAACTATTGCTGACGTTGAAACTTTTGTTGATGATGTAACTGTTGCTAACGATGAAACTGTTGCTAATACTGTAACTGAATTTGTGATTGATGTTGAAGCTGATTGTATAATTGTTGGGTTATCTAATCGTGAAAAAAGATAGAATATAATATTTAGTTCAAAAAATAGTTCATACATTAGAGAGAACAAATAACAATAGATTGTGTTTGATAGATATTTCATAATTGATATTTTTAAATAAGTCCTCTTGATAGTTTTTATGTAAATATGAAAAATTTCTTCAATTATCGATCTCGTATAACAGTATACTAAGATTTCTAAATAACTGTTTGATTATGATTTATTTATTTATATGAATACTTTAAATTTTTCGATATAATAGCAAATATCCGAAATATTGTTGGAAAAGAGAAAATGGATAATTTTCATTTGTGTTTCACGTTGATTACAATTTTATTTCTCTTTATTTTTGGGTGTCATTTAAGTGGTCAGTAGAATAATGAAACGGTCAGTAAAAAAAATTCAAAAATCAGTAGAATTATTGAATGGTCAGTAAAGTAATGATTGATTAGTGAATTATTGAAATGATCAGTAAAATTATTGAAATGGTCCAGAGATGGGCAAGTCAGACTTTTTTACAAGTCAAGTCAAGTCATATATGTTTCAAGTCAAGTCCAAAAGTGACTTGACTTGCCCATCTCTGAAATGGTCAGTAATTAATTGGATAGGTTCATAATAAAATTTAAACGATCAGTAAATAAAACGAAATGGAAAGTAAAAAAGTATAAATTTGTGCAAAGATGATCTACTTTTCTTTTTTTTACTGACAAAAATCATATTTTTTCACTGCTACTTCCACAAAATGTACTGACCACTTTTGAATTGTTTACTGATTTTTTTGAAAACTGACCAATTAATTTATTTACTGATATTTCAATTGTTTTACTGACCGCAGAACATATTCCCTTTATTTTTTAAAACTAATAAATTCGAAGTTTGTTTTTAGTCGAGTTCTTAATAAAATCTAATATTAGAATGGAAAATAAAATTTTTGTAATAGTTTTTTCATAGAATTCTATCTTATCTGAAAGATCCTAAGTCGGATTTTTATTTGAGCTGATAATCTAATTCTTATGTTTTCTCATACTATATGTTTCTATACGAAATGCAGAAATTTTTAATCAACTTAAGTTTAAGTTAGGCTAACTCAACAACTGTTATTGCATTGTCGAGTATAATAATATAAAAAAGAAATTTTCGCCATAGAAAGAAAAAAATATTTAATTAAATATTAAAAGTGCCTTATTACCATTACTTTGTTACTTTTTTTTGATTTTTTCTTCACTTTACTGTGGATCATAAGACATACAAATCACTATGGATGCATAAAAGTTGCAGATAGTGACTTTTACGTCTTGAGATCCACAGTAATATGAAAAAAGAAAAAGTAATAAAGTTATGATAATAAGGCACCCCTATTAAACATCTGCAAAACAAACTTTCCGAATTCCATCTGTTTAGTCAATTAGAAAAAATACAGATATTGATTTACTAAAAATGAATATATCTTGTCAATAGTGTGAAAAACAACTGATAAATAAATTTGAATATATCATGATATTATCTCTTTAAATAGTTTTGCTCAAAAGATAACACTTATGTCAATCTTATTTATCTTATATAAAATTCAATTTTCATATTCATTACTCATAATATCCTACAAACATATTTATCTTTATAGTTCCTTTACAGGGTACAGATATCAGCACTATATCCATTATTCTATCTAATAGATTATATTCATATCATATCAACAGGAGTATTCATGATTTTCAAGTGACATATAATATATTATAACACAATCATCTTATAGAAGATATGTGTATACACTAATTGTAATTTATAATATATATTTTCTTATCATAGAATCTTGTTAATCTTAATTAGATATTTCAAATTATAAACAAAATATCAACTAAATATTATATACTGGAATTATTTTTATAACTTTTCAAATGAATATACATCATAAAAAATATGCATTACTTCAATATATTATTTTCTATTCATTTGATATTGTTAAAGTGCATTGCTACAAACGCTTAGCTGCATCGCATTACTATAGTTTTATACAATACTTTTGTATATTAAAACAATTTTGTTTTTCTAAATTATTTATCAGTTACTCTTTAATTAAAATAAGTAAACTTAAGTCATGTTTAAAACATACATTCTATATGCGACAAAAATTAACACGTCTGCTGTTTATATTTTTTATTTTTCATCTAAACTCTTATTTCTAGTTACTCATTCTTTTCAAATAATTTTCTACTCACTTGTTGATGTTGTAAGACTATTAGTAGTAAGTGGAACAGTAATTGTTGTGTCTATAACAAAAAATACATGATCATATAATTTAGATATATTTTTTTTTTGATTCAATGTGTTTCATCTTACTTTGTAATGTAGCAGCGATTGATGTTGAGTTGGTCAATACTGATGATGTTGATGATGATGATATCGTATTTGGTGCTAGAAAATATAAAATAAAAAAAAAAAATGATTAAGCAAAATAAGTTGTGAGTAAAAACCTTCTTTTCTTTTTAGATGATATTCAATAATAACAAAGTTTTAACTAAATGTTGTTTTTTATCTGTTCAGATTATAGAGCATATCAAATTGTCTTTAACGGGACAGTTTTTCCTGTTTTGAAAAAATGAACTCCAAGTAACACATAATATAAACTTTTCTATTTTAGTATTAAGTTACTATAGTATGCAACTGTCATATGGATTTATATGACTGTATTCTCTCGAGGATTCAATTTAAAACAGAAACAGTTGCTTTATAGATAATTCAATACACTTCATGATACGGACAGATAAAAATAGCAGTTAGTAAAAAGTTTATTATTTTTGAAAATGGTTTTCTAGAAAACCATCCCGTGAAGGTCTACGAGGGCTTTTTACACGCATATTTGTAATCTACATAGTGAATAATCTCTAATGCAATAGCTTATATTAAAAAATCCGATCAGATAGTTGGCAACGGTCTCTCGTTAAACGTATCTATACACTTCAAATATATCTTATAAAAACGAATTAAATTGAATATTTATTTATTAAACTTACAGCAAAGAACAGGAAATCTTTGAATCCGATTGTTACCGTAATCATTGACAATAAGTGCTCCAGTTGAATCAAGTCCGACACTGTAAGGCTTATATAATTGAGATGGTAATACTCCAGCAATACCTGAACCAGCAATGAGTATGCCCGAGGTAGCTCCTAATAACCATAAAACGATTCGATTATTTCCATAGTCCGCAATGTATAATGATTTATTCGTGTCCATAGTCAAATGAAATGGTTTATTAAGTTGATTCAGTGCACTACCAGATACACCCGATGATTGTCCGGCAACTGTTGTTCCATTGCTTGCTCCATAAAGCCATTTTTGGATCCTATGATTACCGTAGTCTGCTACATAAAATGTATTCGAATCAGATATGTCAATGAATAATCCGGTTGGACCATTAAATTGATTAGCTTGTATACCACAGTTATTTCCTCCTGCAACAAGTGTCCCAGTCGATGTATTCATCCATTTGACAATTCGACAATTGTAATAATCAGCTATCCAAATATAGGATGTATTTGGTTCAACGAATAAGTCGTAAGGAGTATTTAGTTGGTTGAGAGAAGTGCCCTGTCCGTTACCACCGGCTACAAGTATACCCGTTGATGCTCCTGGAGCCCATTTTGTAACACGATCGTAGTAGTAGTCAAGTATGTAGATATTACCACTCACATCTATGTTCAGAGCGGAGACTAAATTAAAAAAAACATTGATTATATATCAGTTATCTTAAATTATTCACCGTCATAGAGCTGATTGAGATCTGAACCAAAGGTGGCGTTAAAGATTGTTATTCCTGATTGACTACCTGGATAAAAAAGTTGCATACGATAGTATGTACCCCAATCTATGGCATAAATCGAATCATTTTTACCAACCATGATGCCTACTAGATTATTGAACAATGTTGAAGTGAAACCTTGGATACCATTAGGTGAACCAGCAATTGTTGTTGCATTCTGTGCCCAAACAGTCATTGGACAATTTGAAGTCATAATAGGCACTAGTAGAAAACAAAAACATAGCACAATATTCATTTTATGAGTTTATTATATATGCAGTAGTAAGTGAGAAAAAGCGTTGATATTAAGAATTGGACTTCTCCCTTGTAATTCAATAAAAAAAAACGCTTCTTAAACTATATCTTTTTTATCTGTTTTTTAATTATTTGATCGCAGATTTAGAAGTTTTTCTATGTGTAATTTTGAAATCTACAGTTATTCGATTTAAATTAGACCATGTGATTATTTTCAATGATACAATAGAGTCAATTACAATGTTTCAATTTCATTTCAATATCTTATAAATGTATGATTTAGAATTTAAGAAATTAGATCTATTATTAATCAAATAATTAAAATCAATCTATGAAATATTTGTTACTCTTATGAAATCGATAACTATTTGCATAGGAAAATATTCTTTATTATCTATCTTTAGATTAAAAAAATATTATTTGTTTATGTTATATATTATCTCAAAATTAGTAAAAAACTATCAAGATTAATATGAAAATGAATGTCTATTCTGCTAAAAAATAATATGATACTTACTTGTCGTAGTTACTACCGATGAAACAGTTGTAGTTGATATGTTTATCGCTGTAATGAAAAAGAATATCGATATATTAAAATAAAATTATTAGTCTTAAATAAATCTTACGACAAGAAACAGTATATCTTAATACGCGATTATTGTAAGTATCAGCAAAAAAAAGTGATCCATTCGGATCGAAGGTGATACTAGATGTACCATATGCTGTTATTCCTTCAATGTTCACCCCAAAACTTGCACCTACTTTCCATTGGAGAATTCGAGCGTTGGTGACGTCTGCAATATACATATTCTGGTTACTATCGACAACTATTGCTAATGGATTCCACAGCTGGTTAAGTCCAGTACCATAATAACCTGTTATTCCAGCTACCGTTTTTCCACTAGTTGCACCTGGAAGCCACATTTGTACCCTGTGGTTTCCACTATCTACCACATAAAGTGTATTGTTAGCAGCTGTATCAATGAATATTCCTTTTGGATTAATAAATTGATTGGAATTCGAACCATAACTACCACAGACTGTTAATGCTGTTGATGAATTTACCCATTTGACAATTCTGCTATTGTTTGTATCAGCAATCCAAATAAACATTGATTGAGGTTCAATAAACATTCCACCTGGCTGACCCATACTATCCACAAGCCCATCAAAATAATCATTAAAAGGACCGCCACCAGCTACAAGAATTCCACTCGCAGATCCTGGTGTCCATTTTGTTACGCGTGCTAAAGTTCCATCTAGTATATAGATATTACCATTGGCATCCATACCCATATCAGTCACTAGAACAAATCGAAAAACTGCAATGAAAATATCAATAAAAGGATTGTATACTTACTCGACGAGAATTGGTTCAATCCAGTACCAAAGCTACCGTTGATTTTTAATGTACCTTTAGTTGAATTTGCCGGAAATTGTAACACACGATAATTTGTATTATCAGCCGCATAAATATTACTGTTGTTGTCGACAATAATAGCAATTGGGGTTTTAAGTCGTATCCCTGTGGAACCAGTTACTGTCGTCCCACTTAATGACCAGACAGCCGTTGGACAAATAGAGAAAGCCGACATTTCATCGATTAAAAATCTAACAAAAATTATTCTCACTATATAATCTAATAAAATAAATAAAATATTTCTTACGCAATAATAATAATTGATTTTATCGAAAGATATTTCAAATATCTATCAGCCATGATGATTAATATCTAAATAAAATATTATATATTATATTTTTAATCGACTAATTAATAGAATAAGAATTTTATATACATGATGAACAATTACGTACAAAAAATAATTCAAAAATAAATCTTCTTATAGTTATATACTATTTTATAAAAGTAAACAAAGAAATATTAGTAGCATAGAAATATGAATCAAGTAGAAAACATATTATTTAAGATTATTCAATGATTAAAAGATCATAAACTATCTATAATTCAAGTTTTCAATTTATATAAATATATAAATCTCTTGTTCAATACTGACTCTAACATTAACACTATAACAGAATTCCTACTTTACTCGAATAATCTTATGCATTTTCAAACAATCCAAATTTGACCTTATCAATCTTAATTAAATGAAAATATATAATTTAATTATATTCGCATTTAATACTATACAAATATTTATTAGAATAAATAAAATTTTACAGAATAAGATAGTATACGACTACTATTGAAGATATTTCTTTTATTTAGTTATTCATCAGAAAACAAAATGTAATTAAAAAAAAAGAAAAAGAAGAAGAAAATTTCTTTGTTTTATTTCAGAAACAGATTGTAACGATTCATTGTATCTCATTGGATATAAATTAATAGTCAATATAACTTTCTCTTTTATAATTACTTTATATTTTATATTTTTTTCAATGAAAAATGAATATTAATTATATTGCAACAGAAAGTCATATGAATCATTATGTGGGTTTAATAAAAATGTGTATTACATAGGAACTTATTTGTATTGCAACAAACAATTATATCAAATCTTAAACAATGTAGATAGATGTTTAAAAAAACTGAGATTATATTTCTACGCACAATGACTAAACAAATTTATCGAAAATAGGGTGTGAGTATGGGCATCTTCTCTTCCTACTCTCACTCACACTCAGACCCATACCCATATCCACTCACTCTCAAGATCTTTGTAGAATAATGGAATAACAGACCATTTTGAACAATCTCTCTTTTCATATTTTTTTCTTCTTTATATTTTTCTCAAAAATTTCTCATCGAACTGTAATCGAACTGTAATCGAATTGTAATCAAATCGTAGTCGAGAAAACCATATCTGCACTGAAACACAAAAGGAAAAATTCATGACGTATAACCAGCAAAGAAAAGTATAATGAGAATATCGATATAACCATATAGATAATAAGGGAAGATCCTTGCAGTCGCATTTAAAGAAGAGACACGACAGAGTTGAAATTCAAGCATTTATCTTTACGGAAATATTCGAAAAGAAACTGCTGCACTGATTTTGCCATGTCTCCTAAATAAAAGAGAAGTTCAATGGATTTATATTTATGTAGAAAAGCTGAAATTGATATCAAACAAACTATGTGTTAATATATGATTATACTAGATGAAAATTAAGTAAAATTTAGAAAAACCTTCGTAAATAGTATAAATGCTATATCAATTAAGTTTAGATGATTGCATGCTTGTGCGTATATATCAGATGAATAAGCAAAGAATATAATACTCATTCTCCTGATAAATAATATCTACTTTTTTTTGCAGTTTTTGGAAAAGTATAAGTATCTACTTGGAATACGATGAAACATGGATGTCCTTGCAGAAGAAACTAATACATACCAAAAAACTGTTCTTGTCGTTAAAATTTGTCGTCTGAAGAGAGCCTGTTTTTTTCAAACTGACAACAAATAACTCAACTATCGTATTCTTTTTATACATGTCGCTCACTAGAGAGTGTTTATTAAAAACAGAAAACAAAAAAGGAATTTTTTTCCTTCAGATAAGATCTATTTTTCAGCTTTATGTTTCCTTAGAGATGTATTTCTTTTCTGACGTATTAAAAAAAAAGTAATGAAATATAACATATATCATATTATGTTGATTGTTTTTTTTCAAATTAGATTTCAGTTATTAACGAATGAGGAATCTCATATTTAATGAATAAATTTTTTTTTTATTTTTTAAGATTTGAAATGAACGGATATGTAAACTTGATAAGAAGATTACTTTTGAAATGATTTTATTATTTAGTTTCTAAAAGAAGAGAATAAAAATAGAAAAACTGTTTTAAGAACATCGAACTTTAAAATGTCAAACGTGTAACGAACACGTGCCATCTTTATACTAGAACTTTATCAATTAAAAAAACAAATATTCGACGAGATCAGGTATTATTTCTATCAATGAGATTTATGCGAATTCTATACATATAAAACTCGAGTTTGACATTTTAAAATTAGTTTTTGTGTATTTTAGGATGATGATGATCGTAATGCATTAATCTTTAGCACAATTTATATAAAAAAATACTTGACAAAATGACACAGATTTATGGGAAATAAAAATATCGGTTGTGAAATTACTTTTATAATAAATATGAAAGTGTTTTGTTGTATTGTGCAAAATTTGTGCTTATTCAAAGAGAAAAATAATTATTTTCAATGCAAATATAAGAATGAAATACTTCATTTTAATGACAAAAATATATATTGAAAAAAAGAAATTATTAAATTTAAGTTCTCATGTGAAAACTGAAGTTGTTTACATATAATCAAGAAACTGCGCAGAATATTTATTTCAGATAGAACAATATCTAAATTTTAGTATAGTTTATAGATGGATATATACAAGAAAGAGTTATCGAAAGTGTTTTTGTAGTGTGAATGATTACAAAAAGAAACAAATTGTTTAGTATAGTATCTATCGATTTCTGATTTAGAAAAAATATTGATCAATAATATCTTTTCACCGATTGAATATACTTTATTAGTTTAGCAAAAAAAGATCAGATAATTGTAAACGAGAAGTTTATATTTTTAAAGATGCAAAACAATGCAAAAAATTGACTAGGGTGTAGATGTGGGCGTGTATGGGTGTTGGTGGGTGTATAGGTATATGATGTCTGTTCCACCCACAGCCACATCCAGTTTCAAAACTAAGACGTAATTTCTATATTCATCAAAAAGCAGGAAAAAAATAGGCCGACAAAATATTTGCGGATTGTCGAGAAGAATAAGAAAGAAAAAAATAACTATTAAAAAGAGATTTTTATTGGTGCTGTGACTCTATTTACAACGTTCCACTGTATTCTCTTTATTTTAACATCCGTTATCGCCAAATTTTTAGTCATTTTAGATCAGAAAGAAAAATGCTTCAGAAATATATCGATAGTTATCATGCATCTTTTAAACAAAAATAGTTTTTACAATAATTTAAAGTTCAGTAATCAATATAATAGATCCAGATGGAATTATCAATGCAACGATGTGATGATGTTGAATGTTTTCAAATATTTTATTCTTTTTTACTTATTTTTTCGAGAGATCTATAAACGAAAGTAATATGAACAACTATCTGAGTATTCTTTATCAATGTTGCTGAATATAAACTGGCTATTGTTTAGGATGAGTGAATGTAGGTGTAAGTAAAAAATAGATACATCCACATCCTCACTACACACACAAATTCCTCTCCGCTCAAAAAAAAGAGCGCTTGGATGAATATAAAAGTGGGGAAAATATTTTAAGCACAAATAATAATGAAATAGTTTAGTGTCATGACAATTTACATAATAGAAAAAAAGTTATGAAATCGAGTTTTCCAAGTGAAAATTGAAGTTGTTTACATGTAATCGAGAAATTGCCAAGGATATCTGATGTTGTTATGTCGTATTAATGTATAAAAAGACATTATGAATCCATATAAAGCCTTGCAATAGCACAATATGAATAATTCACATCGAATCATAGCTCATGTAAGAGATTCATATATAAATGGATGAATGCAAGAAAGAATCACTCATTTCTAAACTGAACAAAAAGATTAAAAACGTTTTTGCATCGTAAATAATTACAAAAAGAAACAAACTGTTTTATATAGTTTTCGTCAATTTCCAATTGAGAAAAAATGTTAATGAACAACATTATTTCATCCTAGATGCCACAATATCTTTTCATCTGTTAGATACACTTTATCAGTTTAGGAAATAATGAATATTAAATAATTATGAAAGAGAAACTTATATTCTAAAAGATACCAAGACATTGAAAGATTTATTAAAGAATATAATTATCGATAAAATCTTGTTTATAATTAAAAATCAGAGTTTTTATTAGTTAGATAGTACAGATATAAGACTGTCGATAGTTCAGATTCTCATCTATTTTTATCAAATATTTTCAAACTTGTAGGTCCCTGTTTTAGATTTCTATTACTGCTGTAAGTCACACTACAATCATTACTTCAACTATTCATTGAATCTCAGGAATAGTTATTAGTTTTTCACAATATTATAATGAATCTAACGTAAAGTTCTCTCTTAGGTTCTAATAATTACGTCTTCTTTGATTACTTACATAAATATCAAAAACAAGCATTGTACTATATTCTTTTTAAATAAACTAGCATAAAAATAAAAACATCAACATTTCTATGACATTGACTCTAAAAATCTGGTATTGCGTAGATTCGATTCTATTTTGAATTATTCATTTTATACAAAGCCAACTGTTGAGAACCTTAAGCAAGGTCCAAACCTGTCTTGGTGTGTTTAATTCACCCTCATCCACAACTATATACTAATAAGCCCTTTGAAAGTAAGGTGAGGGTGTGCGTGTGGGTGTGGATGTGGTTTGGGTGGGTGTCCATCTCTTATCCACACCCACACCCACACCCTCAAGATCATAGTTCACCGTAGTATAATAGAGATCCATAAGTAAAATATATTTTGATTGATCTTTATTACATTTTTTATCAAATATACACATATTTCAGATAAAAGATTTTAGTTACAAATCAATGGAAACAATATACTTGGTAGTATGCATGTCGATACAGTTCTTTTACAAATCTATTCCTTTCATACCTAATCAGTTTCTAACAATTTTTAGAAATAATTCAATATATTCTAATATTCACTTATACATAGAAAGCATATAGTTTATTAGGAAAATCACTCTTGACATGTACAACATCAAATACTCATAATCAAAAACAAAAAACTTCAGTAAATTCAATCATATGAGAACAAAATAATTTTTCATAAAAATTCAAAATATAGTATGAACCTTAGAAGAAAAAAAAAAGATTTGTCTGTTAAATTGTTACAAATTAGCTGATTGTTTTGCTCGTTGCCCACATAAAATCAAATAGGCAATGCAGAGTTAGTATCGCCAGTTGAATAAATAAAATGATTACAGAATTTGTAGTAGGTTTAGTTCATTGACTAGACAAAAAGCAAATGAATAATAAATACATTGAAAGCATTAGAAAGAGATTAATGAATGGATGAATAAAATGAAAACTTAATTGTTGATAAAAATCATAATGAAACAAAATGATAATACTAATAATTTTGAATTCAAATTACGAATTGCAAATGAATGATTTGTTGATTGAGAGCTTGCAGCCATTGTTGATGATAATTTTGTTATTGTATTAATTGAATTACTCTTTTGTGATGTTGTAACCAGTGTTGACATTGAAACTGTTGTTGAGGGTGTAACTATTGCTGACGATGAAACCTTTGTTAATGATGTGGCTATTGCTGATGTTGAAACTGTTGTTGAGGGTGTAACTACTGCTGATGTCGAAACTGTTGTTGGTGGTGTCACTGTTGGTGACGTTGGTACTGTCGTTGATGGTGTAACTACTGCTGACGATGAAACTGTTGTTGACGGTGTAACTATTGCTGATGTTGAAACTGTTGTTGATGGTGTAACTGAACCTGCGATTGATGTTGAAGCTGATAGTATAGTTGTTGGGTTATCTAATAGTGAAAAAGATAGATTATAATATTTATTTAAAAAACAGTTGATACATTAGAGAGAGAACAAATAACAATATGTTATTTTTGGTAGATATTTCATAAATGATATTTTTAAATTAGTTTTCTTAATAGTTTTATTTAAATATTATAAATATCTTCAATTATCGATCTTGCGTAATAGTATTCTAACATTTCTAAATAACTGTTCGATTATGATTTATTTATATATATGAATACTTTAAATTTTTCAATAGAATAGTAAATATCCGAAATATTGTTGGAAAAGAGAAAATGAATAGTTTCGTCTGTATTTTACATCGATTACAGTTTTAATAATTACAATTTTACTTCTCTTTGCTTTTTAGTACTAATAAATTGCAACTTTCTTTTTGGTCGAGTTCTTAATAAAATCTAATATCAGAATGGAGAATAAAATTTTTGTAATAAGTTTTCATAGCATTCTATCTTATCTAAAAGATCCTAAATCGGATTTTTATTTGAGCTGATAATCTAATTCTTATGTTTTCTCATACTATATGTTTCTATACAAAATGCAGGAATTTGTAATCAATTTAAGTTTTGTTTAAATTAATTGAACAATTGATATTCCATTATCGAGTATAATAGCATTAAATAGAATAGAAGAAAGGGAAAACTTCTTATTAAAATACATTTTTTTATTATAAAAATATTAAAGAAAAATTTTCAACATAGAAAGGAAAGAATATTTAATTAAATATTAGGGGTACCTTATTACCATCACTTAATTACTTTTTTGATGTTTTTTTTGCTTTACTGCTGATTATAAGATATACAAGTCACTATGGATGCATAATAGTTGTGGATAGTGATTCGCACATCTTGTGATCTACAGTAGAGTGAAAAAAGAAAAATTAATAAAGTAATGATAATAAGGCACCCCTATTAAATATCTACAAAACAAACTTTTCGAATTCTATCTGTTCACTCAATTAGGAGAAATACAGAGATATTGATTTACTAAAAATAAACATATCTTGTCAATAGTATGAAAAATAACTGGTAAATAAATTCGAATATATCGTGATATTATCACTTTAAATAGCTTTGTTCAAAAGATAACACTTACGGTAATCTTGTTTATCTCATATAAAATTCAATTTTAATATTTATTACTCGAAATATCTCACAAATATATTTATCTTTATAGTTCCTATACGTTTTACAGATATCAGCGCTATATCCATCATTCTATCTAATAGATTATATTCATATCATATTAACAGGAGTATTCATAGTTTTGAAATGACATATAACAGTATAATATAATCATCTTATAGAAGATATATACACCAATTATAATTTATAATATATATTTTCTTATCATGGAATCTTGTTAATCTTAATTAGATGTTTAAAATTATAAACAAAACGTCAACTGAATACTATATATTAGAATTATTTTTATAACTTTTTCAATGACTATATATCATGAAAAATATGCATTACTTCCATATATTAGTTTCTGTTCATTTGATATTGTTAAAGTGCATTGCTATACACGCTTAGCTGCACCCTATTACTATAGTTTTATGTTACACTTTTACATATTAAAACAATTTTATTTTTCGAAACTATTTGACAGTTATTCTTTAATTAAAATAAATATTAGAAAATAAATTATTGGATATATCCTAGTATAATAAATAAATTCCAGTCATATTTAAAATCTATACTCTATATGCGACACAAATTAACACATCTAATGTTTACATTTTTTAATTTTTCATATAAAACTTTATTTCTAGTTATTTCTTTTCAGATAATTTTCTACTCACTTGTTGATGTTGTAAGACTATTGGTAGTAAGTGGAACAGTAATTGTTGTATCTATAACAAAAATCCATGATCATATAATTTACATATTTCTTTCTTGATTCAATGTTTCCTATCTTACTTTGTAAAGTAGCAGTAATTGATATTGAGTTGGTTGATACTGATGTTGTTGATGATGAAACCGTATTTGGTGCTAGAAGATATAAAATAAAAAAAATATGATTAAGCAAAATAAGTTGTAAGTAAAAATCTACTTTTCTTGATCAAACATTTAGAATTGAAATAAAAAAGATTTTAAAAATTTTTCTTCATTCCAGTTAAAATCTGAAATGCTTAGAAAGAGTTTCTTTGTAATCTTGACTTTTTTTTCAACTATATTATTAGATAACACTATTTGGAGACAAAACAAAAGATATTAGTTATATATTTTAATAAAAATTATATATATCACAAATATAGAATATTATTTATACAAATAACAACTATTTTTGTTTAGATTATTTTGTAATTAGTAAACAAATGCAAAATGAACTAAAAAAAGAAATATTCATTTATATGATATAATCTGCTAATGCCTATAATTAATTTGTCTATACATTTAGATTTTATACATGTTGAATATTTAACTATTAAACTTACAGCAGAGAACAGGAAATCTCTGAATCCGATTGTTACCGTGATCAGGGACAATAAATGCTCCAGTAGAATCAAGTCTGACACTATAAGGATGATATAGTTGAGATGGTAATACTCCGTAAGTATTTGAACCAGCAATAACTGTGCCCGATGTAGCACCTAATAACCATAAAACGATTCGATGATTTCCATAGTCCACAATGTACATTGATCCATTCGTGTCCATAATTAAAGTCGCTGGAGAACTAAGTTGATTAAGTGCACTACCATACACAGTTGATTGTCCTGCCATTGTTGTTCCATTGCTTGCTCCATAAAGCCATTTTTGGATTCTATGATTATATGTGTCTGCTACATAAAGTGTATTCGAATCAGATGTGTCAACAAATAATCCTTCTGGATAATAAAGTTGATTAGCTTTTGAACCACTAGTGCCTCCCCCCGCAACCAGTATTGCAGTCGATGTATTGATCCATTTGACAATCCTATTATTGTTTGAATCAGCTATCCAAATATAGGATGTATTTGGCTCAACAAAAATGCCGTAAGGACTATTTAGTTTGCTAAGAGAACTACCCGATCCGTTACCACCTGCGACAACTATACCCGCGGATGCTCCTGGGGCCCATTTTGTAACACGAGAGTTTCCATTATCAAGTATGTAGATATTGCCGCTCATATCAATGCTAAAAGCATCCACTAAATTAAAGAAAACATAAATTATATATAAACTTTCTCAAACTATTTACTGCTAGAGAACTGATTGAAATTTGTGCCATAGGAGGCGTTAAAGATTGTTATTCCTGATTGACTACCTGGATAAAAAAGTTGCACACGATAGTATGTACCCCAATCAATGACATAAATCGAATCATTGTTACCAACCCAGACGTCTGTTGGACCATCTAACAATGTTGAAGTAAGACCGACAATACCTATAGGTGAACCAGCAATTATTGTTGCATTCAATGCCCAAACAGTCATTGGACAAGTTGAAGTCGAAATAGGCACTGGTAAAAAAACAAAAACATAGTACAATATTCATTTTATGAATTTATTATACATGCAGTTATAAGAGAAAAAAAGCCTTGATATTAGCAATTAGACTTCTATCTTGTAATTCAGTAAAAAAAACATTTCTCAGACTACATCTATCTAATTTTTAGTGTCCAAGTTATATTACCTGTTGAATTTTTTTTTTTGATACAAAAGTTTTTATGAATTATTGCTCGATATGAAATTATTTGATCGTAGATTTAGAAGTTTTCTATATGCATAATTTTAAATTCTACAGCTATTCGATTTAAATTAGATCATGCAATTATTTTCAATGATATAATAGAGTCAATTATAAAGTCTCAGTATCATTTCAATATCTCATAAATGTATGATATAGAATTTGGGAAATTAAATCTATTATTACTTAAATATTTAAGATTAATATACGAAATTTTTATTATTCTTATAAGATCGATAACTATTTTCATAGAAAAATATTCTTTCTTATCTACCTTTAGATTAAAAAAATATTATTTATTTATGTTAAATATTATCTCAAAATCAGTAAAAAATTATAACGATTAATATTAAAATGAATATCTATTCTACTCAACATAATATAATACTTACTCATCGTAGTTACTACTGATGAAACAGTTGTAGTTGATATATTTGTCGCTATAGTAAGAAAAGAATATGAATATATTAAAATAAAACTCTTAATCTTAAACAAATCTTACGACAAGAAATAGCAAATTTTTGTACACGATTATTAGTAGTATCAGCAACAAAAAGTGATCCATTCGAGTCGAAGCTAACACTAGATGGATTACCAAGCAGATTTGGCGCTGTTCCTTTGCTTAATGCCGTTCCTGCAATGTCTATTCCAAAACTTGCACCTACTTTCCATTGTAGGATTCGCCAGTTGAGCCTGTCTGTAATATACATATTCTGGTTACTGTCTACAACTATTGCTATTGGACTCCACAGCTGATTGAGTCCACTACCATAGTAACTTGTTATTCCAGCAACAGTTTCTCCAGTAGTTGCACCTGGAAGCCACCTTTGTATCCTATGATTTCCACTATCTACTACATAAAGTGTGTTTCCAGCAGTTGTATCAACGAATAATCCTAATGGATTAATAAATTGATTGGAGTTCGCACCATAACTACCACAAACTGTTAACACTGTTGATGAATTTACCCATTTGACAATTCTGCTATTGTTTGTATCAGCAATCCAAATAAATAATGATTGAGGTTCAATAAACATTCCACCAGGTTGACCCATACTATCCACATGTCCATCAAAATAATCATTAAAAGGACCACCACCAGCTACAAGAATTCCACTCGCAGATCCTGGTGTCCATTTTGTTACGCGTGCTAAAGTTCCATCTAGTATATAGATATTACCATTGGCATCCATACCCATATCAGTCACTAGAACAAATCGAAAAACTGCAATAAAAATATCAATAAAAGAATTGTAAACTTACTCGACGAGAATTGATTCAATCCAGTACCAAAGCTACCGTTGATTCTTAATACACCTGTAGTGGAATTTACCGGAAATTGTAACACACGATAATTTCCAGTATCAGCCACATAAGTATTACTGTTGTTGTCGACAATAACGGCAATCGGAGTTTTAAGTTTTGTCAATGTGGAACCAGATGAGCCTGATGATGAACCAGCTACTGTTGTTGCATTCAATGCCCAAACAGCCGTTGGACAAATAGACAGAGCCGATATTTCATCAATTAAAACCCTAATCAAAGGTATTTTTACTATATAATCTAATAAAATAAATAAAATATTTCTTACGCAATAATAATCATGGATTTTATCGAGAGATATTTCAAACATCTATCAGCCATGATGATTAATATCTAAATAAAATATTATATATCATATTTTTAATCGACTAACTAATAGCAATAAGAATTTTATATACACGATGAACAATGACAACAATTATGTACTAAAAATAATTCAAAAGAAAATCTTCTTATAGTTATATATTATTTTATAAAAGTAAATAAAGAAATATTAGTAGAATACATATTATTTAAGATTATTCAATGGTTAAAAGATCATAAACTATATATAATTCAAGTTTTCAATTTATATTAATATATGAATCTCTTGTTCAATACCAACTCTAATATTAACACTATGATTGAATTCTTATTTTACTCGAGTAATCTTATGCATTTTCAAATAATCCCTATTTGATCTTATCAATCTTAATTAAATGAAAATATATAATTTAATTATATTCACATTTAATACTATACAAATATTTATTAGAAGGAATAAAATTTTACAGAATAAGATAGTATATGACTATTATTAAAGATATTTCTTTGATTTAGTTGTTCATCAGAAAACAAAAAGGAAAAGAAAGTTTTTTTGTTTTATTTTAAGAATAGATTGTAACGATTCTTTATATCTCATTGGATATAAATCAACAGTCAATATAGATTTTTCTTTTATAATTATCTTATATTTTATATTTTTTTCAATGTGAAATGAATATTAATTATATTTTGAGATAAAGTCATATGAATCATTATGTAAATCTAATAAAAATGTGTATCTTGAGGGTGTGGGTGTGGGCGTGAGTGTGGACATCTTCTCTTCCTACCCACACTCACACTCATACCCACCCACTCATTAGATCTTTGTAGAAAAGTAGAATAACAGCTCATTTAAAACAATCTCTCTTTTCGTATTTTTCTCAAAAATCTTCTCGTCGAACTGTAATCAAATCGTAGTCCAGAAAACCATATCTACACTGAAATACAAAAGAAAAAATTCATAACGTATCACTAGCAAAGAAAAGAATAATGAGAACATCAATATAACCATATAGATTACACGAGAAGATCTTTACAATCGCATTTAAAGAAGAGGCAGGATAGAGTTAAAATTTAATTATTTATCTTTGCAAAAATAATTGAAAAAAAATGCTGCAATGATTTTTCACTATCTCTTAAATAAAGAGAAGTTCAATGGATTTATATTTCTGGAGAAAAGCTGAAATTGATATCAAACAAACTATGTGTTAGTATATGATTATATCATATAATAATGAAAAAAAAATTAGAAAAACTTCGTAAATAGTATAAATGCTATATGAATTAAGTTTAGATGATCGTATGGGTGTGTATGTATCAGATGAATAACTAAGGAATATAATACTCATTCTCCTGATAAATAATGTCTTCTTTTTTTTCAGTTTTTGAAAAAAGTTATCAGTATCTACTCGGAGTACGATGAAACAGTAATGTCCTTGCAGAAGAAACTAATACATACCAAAAAACTGTTCTTGTCGTTAAATGTTATCGTTCCAAGAGAGCCTGTTTTTTTCAAACTGACAACAAATAACTCAACTATCGTATTCTTTTTATATAGAAAATAAAAAAAAGAATTTTTTTCTCAAGATAAGATCTATTTTTCAGCTTTCTGTTTCCTTAGAGATGTATTTCTTTTCTGACGTATTAAAAGAAAAGTAATAAAACATAAAATATATCATATCATGTTAATTATCTTTTTTTCTAATTAGATTTCAGTTATTAGCAAATACGCAATTTCATATTTAATGAGCAATTTTTTTCTAAGATTTGAAATGAACGGATATACAAACTTGATAGGAAGATTACTTTTGAAATGATTTTATTATTTAGTTTCTAAAAGAAGAGAATAAAAATAGAAAAAATGTTTTGAGAACATCGAACTTTAGAATGTCAAACATATAACTAACATGTCCTATATTCATAGTGGAACTTTATCAGTTAAAAAAAACAACTATTTGAGGAGACCAGATATTATCTCTATCAATAAGATTCATTTGGCCTAGATTTATTCGACTTCTATACATATAAAACTCGAGTTCACATTTTAAAATTAGTTTTTCTGTATTTTAGGATGATGATGATAATGATATGTTATTCTTTCACATAATGTATAGAAAATATATCGAAGATGTCATAAGCAATGCTCGCTTGTGTTTTATAATTAACAATGAAAAATAATTTTTCAATAAAAAAGCATATATAAAAGAAATACTAGACAAAATGACACAGATTTATACGAGATAAAAATATTAGTCAGTAACAGTACTTTTATAATAAATATAAAAGTATTTTGTTGTATTGTACAAAATTTATCCCTATTCAAAGAGAGAAATAATTATTTTCAATACAAATATAATAATGAAATACTTCAGTTTAATGACAAAAATATATATTGAAAAAAAGAAATTATTAAATTCAAGTTCTCATGTGAAAAGTGAAGATATTTACATATAATCGAGAAATTGCGCAGAATATTTATTTTAGATAGAACAATATCTAAATTTTAGTATAGTTCATAGACGGATAGATACAAGGAAGAATAATCAAAAGTGTTTTTATATAGTGTGAATAATTACAAAAAGAAACAAGTTATATAATTAATGCGATGCGAATAGCAGAAGCATTTATGTAGTCCTGCGCGAGTTTTCTTGCTTTTTTTTTTTCTTACTTTCTCGACGTACGCATCAAAGTGGTCATTTTATGTCACGATTATCTCAGCAATGAAACATCAGAAAATACTCGTTTAAACGCAATAATAAAATATCGAGATCGAACTAATATGACATGTTTTTTGACTTTCAATAGGACGTCTAGTTCGTTTACAGGAAGCGTCACAAAAACACGATTTTGACTTTTTCAAATTTCGAGATAATTAAAACGAAAAATAAAAGCAAAATTTAGGCGCCAGTTTTCTCTAACAACTGCTTTACAGCTGAAATTGCAGCTGATAATAGATAATGAATCATCTACATAATGTTCTAAAAATCTTAAACTGGTGATTTCGAAATTCTGCTATTCGCATCGCATTTCGTAGTCGTGTGAAACTCGAATACCTTCTAGTATAGTATCTATCGATTTCCGATTAAGAAAAAATGTTGATTAGTAATATCTTTTCACCGATTAAATGTACTTTATTAGTTTAGCAAAAAAAGATCAGATAATTGTAAACGAGAAGTTTATATTTTTAAAGATGCAAAATAATGAAAAAAATTCACTAGGGTGTAGATGTGAGCGTGTATGGGTGTTGGCGGATGTATAGGTATATGATGTCTGTCCCACCCACAGCCACATCCAATTTCAAAACCAAGACGTAAATTTCTATATTCATCAATAAGCAGGAAAAAAACCAGGTCAGCACAATATTTGTGAATTGTCGACAAGAATAAGAAAGAAAAAAATAACTATGAAAAAGAGATTTTTATAGGTGCTATGACTTTATTTGCAACGATACATTATATTCTCTTTATTTTAACATCCGTTAGCGCCAAATTCTTAGTCATTTTAGATCATAATAAAAAAATGATTCAGAAATACATGAGTAGCTATCATGCATCTTTTAAACAAAAATAGTTTTCACAATAATTTAAAGTGCAATAATTAAAATAATAGATTCAGATGGAACTATCAATGCAACGACGTGATGATGTTGAATGTTTTCAAATATTTTATTCTTTTTTAGTTATTTTTCTGAGAGAGGTTGTGTGTGTGGGTGTAGATTCGACACTCATTCACTTTCACCACCCTTAATAAGATTATTTGTTGTCACTCGTGTAAGAGTTAATGAAAAGGAATATACAAAGAATATTCTTTTCGATCCTATCGTTTGTTTTAATCTTATGTTTACGTGGTCAATTAAATGCAACAAATCCTTGTATTCATGACTCGAACTCAAGAAGTGTCATTGATTGAATCAGTGTCGGTCATATAAATGGAACTCCTACATAGAAAAACATACCTTCTAAGATAAGCGATAAACATAGAATTTGGATTCAAATAAGACTTTTATTTAAAAATAATTTAAAGCTTTTCTAGCTTATTCTTACAATCCATGTCATTCATTCACTTAATACTCATGTCCATAGATGTTGCAGCCTTTCATAGATTAGGAAAAATTAGTATATTCGATAGGAACTCAAAACAGTATGTAATAGAAAGTTCCAAGAAGTTAAGATATAATGATTCGAGTCTGTACGTCAAGATAAAGAGCATTGTCCATAGACTTGTGTTATTCAAAATCTGGGGAGTCAAACAAATTAGACGTACATGGGTTTCATCTTACAGCAAATGCATTTGTTGTGCCATTATCACCTGAATGTGCATGTTGGAATGGTTATAAAAATTAGAAATGTGATGTACATTGTGATCTATTATAAGAATATTCTTTTAGATGATCCTACTTCTTAGCTGCCAAATAAATAGAGTAGTGAAACCGTTTTATTATTATATTAATTATTATGACAATGATTTATTTGATTGATTTCATGGCTTTCAACATATTTAAAGGATATGAAACTGATATTAATATTCTTCCACATCGTTCTTTTCAGATTGCATTACCTGGTTATGTCTCAGATGGAATTATGTTTACCTGTCGGAAAGTTACGGACAACGAAACAATATACATCGCTGTTTCATAATATGATTTTTCTCATATACTAGTGTGCGTGTTTTTACATTTATTTTGACTTTTAACAATTAGATTGTTACCATCACGGTCACTATTATTGTGTTAGAAATACAAACAACAAGTAAATAAATTGATCCATTTGATTCTATTCTTTCTGAAACTATTTTACTTCTCTGTCCCATACCCACACCAACTTCAGAAATGGATTGCATAAATAAATAAAGGTGTTGTATTATTACATTTTTTATTAAATATACACATATTTCAACTAAAAGATTTTAGTTAGAAATCAAAGGAAACAATATACGTGATAATATGCATGTGGATATAGTTCTTTTACTAAAACATTCCTTTTATACCTAATCAGTTTCTAATAATTTTTAGAAATAATTCGATATATTCTAATATTCAGTTAGACATAGAAAGCATATAGTTTATTAGAAAAACCACAGTCGATATGCACAACATCAAATATTTAATATCAAAAACAAAAAACTTCAGTGAATTCAATTATATGAAAATAAAATAACTTTTCATAAAAATTCAAAATATATTATGAACTTAAGAAGAAAAAAAGATTTGTTTGTAAAGTTGTAACGAATTAGCTGATTGTTTTGCTCGTCGTCCAAATAAAATAAAATAAGCAATGCAGACTTAGTATTGCCAGTTGAATAAATAAAATGATTACAGAATTTGTAGCAGGTTTAGTTCATTGACTAGACAAAAAGCAAATGAATAATAAATACATTGAAAGCATTAGAAAGAGATTAATGAATGAATGAATAAAATGAAAACTTAATTGTTGATAAAAATCATAATGAAATAAAATAATAATACAGTAACTGAATTTGCGATTGATGTTGAAGCTGATAGTATAGTTGTTAATTTATCTAATAGTGAAAAAAGATAGAATAGAATATTTATTCAAAAAATAGTTCATACATTAAAGAGAGCAAACAACAATATGTTGTATTTCATAGATATTTCATAATTGATATTTTTAAATTAGTCGTCTTAATAGTTTTTATTTAAATATGATAAATGTCTTCAATTATCGATCTTGTGTAACAGTATTCTAAGACTTCTAATTAACTGTTTGATTATGATTTCTTTATCTATATAAATACTTAAAAGTTTTCAATATAATAGCCAATATACGAAATATTGTTGAAAAAGAGAAAATGGATAATTTCGTTCGTGTTTCACATCGATTACAATTTTACTTCTTTTTACTCTTCAGTACTAATAAATTGCAACTTTCTTTTAGTCAAGTAGTTACTAAAATCTAATATTAGAATGGAAAATAAGATTTTTGTAATAAATATTTTTTCATAGAATTCTATCTTATCTAAATGATCCTAAATCGAGTTTTTATTTGAGCTGATAATGTAATTCTTCTGTTTTCTCATACTATATGTTTCTATGCGAAATGCGGGAATTTGTAAGCAATTTAAGTTGAAACTAAGCTAATTCAACAATTGACATTGCATTATCGAGTATAAAAATATTAAATAGAATAGAAGAAAGTAAAAACTGTTTTTTGAAATATATATTTTTTATTATCAAAATATTAAAGACGAATTTTCAACATAGAAAAAAAAAATATTTAATTAAATATTAGGAGTACTTTATTTTATAACATTACTTTATTACTTTTTTGATTTTTTCTTTACTTTACTGCGGATTATGAGACATACAAGTTACTATGGATGCATAATAGTTGTAGATAGTGATCCGTACATCTTGTAATCCACAGTGGAGGGGAAAAAAGAAAAATTAATAAAGTAATGATAATAAGGCATCCATATTAAATATCTGCAAAACAAACTTTCCGAATTTTATCTGTTCACTCAATTAGAAGAAATACAGAGATATTGATTTACTAAAAATGAATGTATCTTGTCAATAGTATGAAAAACAACTGATTATGAAATAAAACTAAATATATTTATCAAATGAAATATTTCAATCGAAAGTATAAAAAGAAATTGATCTAAGTGCTCCTATTTCATATTTAGAAAAACAAAAAAATAGATTATTTTTAAATTTTAACTGTATTTTCGAACACATTATTATACTAATTGATGTTCTCTTTCTCGTAGAGAAGAGTCCAGTAAGAATAAACTGTTTGCTTGCTTGCCTGTCTGTCCGCAGGGTCAAAAAAACATCGAAAATCAACTTCTAGGAAAGACATTTCTTGACGTATTTCGATGCTGGGACTTCGAATGTGGGCCACATTTCCTCAGACTACTGAAGGGGAGGGGAGGGGGGGAGTGTGAATTGAAAAAAGGGGTGTGGGCTGATAGAAACCCACTTTTTGGGTAATGCTTTGTTATAGGTATCCAAATGTTCCCCTGGTTATGGTGCAGAGTATGGCGACCATAATCGGCTGGCTTTGTTGCATATAAGATTACTAACTCTTCATTGATTCATTAAAGACTAGTTCGACATGCCACTCATGTCGACAGCTCTAATATATTTTGATCTGCGTTTACCACTGAGTAGGATGTGAGTATGTGCTAAGAGTAAGGAACAACAAACGAGAGCAAGGTTTTCAATTGTTTTTTCAGTAAATATGAAGAGCGCGCATTTCTACGAGAAAGAGCTAAGCGAGTCTTCGGACGAGCGTTACTTGCATATAGTGTAAAAAATAAATATGAAATTATATGACTGAACTACAGTTCGATTAAAATAACTGATTTTTACACTGTCATTGTTGTGTGTAGGCTCCTAGCTTCTATTTTCTTCGGATAGTTCAGATGTCGTGGGTAGGTGACGACTCTATACTATTTTATTCTATGTTTTTCTCACTCTCTGTGTAACGAAAGTTTGTTTCAAAAGGCCCATTGGGCATTAAATAAAGCAAAATAAAATAAAAAATAAAATAAAATTGTTGTGTCTATAACAAAAAACACATTATCATATAATTTAGATATTTTTGTTAAATCAATGTATTCCATCTTACTTTGTAATGTAGAAGCAATTGATGTTGAGTTGGTTAATACCGATGTTGCTGATGATGACGCCGTATTTGGTGCTAGAAGATATAAAATAAAAAAATATGATTAAACAAAATAGAGTGTGAGTAAAAACCTTCTTTTCTTTGTAGATGATATTCAATAATAATGAAATTTTAACTAAATATTGTTTTTTATCTGTTTAGATTATAGAACATATCAAATTATCTTTAATAGGACCATGTTTCCTATTTTGCAAAAAAATAAACTGCAAAAGAAATAATATAAACTTTTTTATTTCGGTATTAAGTTATTATAGTGTGCATCTGTTGTATGTATTTACATGACTGTATTGTCTAGAGGAATCAGTTTAAAACAGAAATAGTTCTTGTTGTTGTTTTCTAGGGAATTCAATACGCTTCATAATAGGAGCGGATTAGAACAACAGTTAGTAAAAAGTTTATTAGTTTTGAAAACAGTTTTCTAGAAAACCATCCCTTGAAGGTCTAAGAGGACTTTTCATATTCATATTCCAGATCTGCATAGTGAATAATCTCTAATCCAATAGTTTATATCGAAAAATCCGACTAGATAGTTGGCGACCTTGGCTCGGCAGACGTATTTATACACTTTAAATATATTTCATAAAAACGAATGAAATCAAATATTTATTTATTGAGCTTACAGCAAATAACAGGAAATCTTTGAATACGATTGTTATAGCAATCATTGACAATAAGTGCTCCAGTTGAATCAAGTCTGACACTCCAAGGATTATATAGTTGAGATGGTAATGCTCCGACAACGCCTGTACCAGCAATGAGTATGCCCGATGTAGCTCCTAATAACCATAAAACGATTCGATTATTTCCACTATCCACAATGTACAATGATTTATTCGTGTCCATGATCAAAGCAAATGGTTTATTAAGTTGATTAAGTGCACTACCGGATACATTTGATTGTCCTGATACTGTTGTTCCATTGCTTGCTCCATAAAGCCATTTTTGAATTCTGTGATTACTGAAGTCTGCTACATAAAGTGTATTCGAATCAGATGTGTCAACGAATACTCCGGTTGGAAAATTAAGTTGATTGGCGTTTGAACCACTAGTACCTTCTCCCGCAGCAAGTATCGCAGTCGATGTATTCACCCATTTAACAATCCGGTTATTATTTGAATCAGCTATCCAAATATAGGATGTATTTGGCTCAACGAATATGTCCCAAGCAGTATTTAGTTTCTTGATAGAACTGCCCTGACCACTTCCACCGGCTACAAGTATACCCGTTGATGCTCCTGGAGCCCATTTTGTAACACGATTGTTTCCTTGGTCAAGTATATAGATATTACCACTCACATCCATGTTAAGAGCGACGGCTTAATTAAAGAAAACATTGGTTACATATCAATTATCTTAGATTATTTACCGGAAGAGAGCTGATTGAGAGTTGTGCCAAAGATGGCGTTGAAGATTATTGTTGCAAATTGACGACCTGGACGAAAAACTTGCATACGATAGAAGGTTGTACCATGATCCATGACATAAATTGTATCATTCTGATCAACCAAGATGCCTACTGGCAAAGTTAATAATGCTGAACTGAAACCTGAACTACCTGTAGGTGAACCAGCAATTGTTGTTGCATTCACTGCCCAAACAGTCGTTGAACAATTAGAGAGAGCCGACATTTTGTCAATTAAAAATCTAACAAAAGTTATTTTTATTATATAATCTAATAAAATAAATATAATATTTCTTACGTAATAATAACAATAATTGATTTTATTGACAGATATTTCAAATATCTATCAGCCATGATGATTAATATCTAAATAAAATATCATATATCATATTTTTAATCAACTAATTAATAGAATAAGAATTTTATATACACAATGAATAATTACAACAATTATATACTAAAAATAATCCAAAAAAATAAATCTTCTTATAGTTATGTATTATTTTATAAAAGTAAACAAAGAACTGTTCATAGAATACATATTATTTAAGATTATTCAATGGTTAAAAGATCATAAACTATATGTATTTCAAGTTTTGAATTAATATAAATACATGAATCTCTTGTTCAATACTGACTCTAACATTGACACTATAACAGAATTCCTACTTTACTCGAGTAATCTTATGCATTTTCAAATAATTCAAATTTGACCTTATCAATCTTAATTAAATGAAAATATATAATTTAATTATATTCACATTTAATATTCCTATAAAGATATTTATTAGAACAAATAAAAGTTTACAGAATAAGATAGTATATGATTATTATTGAAGATATTTCTTTTATTTAGTTATTCATCAGAAAACAATAAGGAAAAGAAAGTTTTGTTGTTTTATTTCATGAATAGATTGTAACGATTCTTTATATCTCATTCGATATAAATCAATAGTCAATATAGTTTTTTCTTTTATAATTATCTTATACTTTATATTGTTTTCAATAGAAAATGAATATTAATTATATCCCGAGAGAAAGTCATTTAAATCATTATGTGGATCTAATAAAAATGTGTATTACAAAGGAAGTTATTTGAATTGTAATAAAAAATTATAACAAATCTTAAAGAATGTAGATAAATGTTCAAAAAAAATTGAGATTCTGTTTCTACGCACAATCATTAAATAAATTTATCAAAAATAGGGTGTGGGTATGAGTATCTTCTCTTCCTACTCTCACTCACACTCAGACCCGCACCCACACCCACTAACTCTCAAGATCTTTGTAGAACAATAAACTAACAGTCCATTTTGAACAATCTCTCATTCCGTATTTTTTTCCTCTTTATATTTTTCTCAAAAATTTTCTCATCGAACTGTAATCAAATCGTAGTCGAGAAAATCATATTTGCACTGAAACACGAAAAGAAAAGAATAATGAAATCATCGATATAACCATTTTGGAAAAAATTATAAGTATCTGCTTGGAGAACGATGAAACATGGATGCCCTTGCAGAAGAAACTAATACATACCAAAAAACTGTTCTTGTCGTTAAACGTTATCGTTTAAAGAGAGCCTGTTTTTTCAAACTGACAACAAATAACTCAACTATAGTACTCTTTTTATATAGAAAATAAAAAAAAGAATTTTTTTCTCAAGATAAGATCTATTTTTCAGCTTTCTGTTTCCTTAGAGATGTATTTCTTTTCTGACGTATTAAAAAAATATAAATTATATCATATCATGTTAATTATCTTTTTTTCTAATTAGATTTCAGTTATTAACAAATACGCAATTTCATATTTAGTGAGCAATTTTTTTCTAAGATTTGAAGTGAACGGATATACAAACTTGATAAGAAAATTACTTGTGAAATAGTTTTATTATTTAGTTTCTAAAAGAAGAGAATAAAAATAGAAAAAATGTTTTGAGAACATCGAACTTTAGAATGTCAAACATGTAACGAACACGTGCATCTTCATACTAGAACTATATCAATTAAAAAAAACAATATTTGACGAGATTAGGTATTATCTCTATCAATGAGATTTATTCGACTTCTATACAAATAAAACTCGAGTTTCACATTTTAAAATTAATTTTTCTGTATTTTAGGATGATGATGATCGTAATGCATTAATCTTTAGCACAATTTATATAAAAAAATACTTGACAAAATGACACAGATTTATGGGAAATAAAAATATCGGTCTGTAAAATTACTTTTATAATAAATATGAAAGTGTTTTGTTGTATTGTGCAAAATTTGTGCTTATTCAAAGTGAAAAATAATTATTTTCAATGCAAGTATATTAATGAAATACTTCAGTTTAATGACAAAAATATATATTGAAGAAAGAAATTATTAAATTCAAGGTCTCGCATGTGAAAACTGAAGTTGTTTACATATAATCAAGAAATTTCGTAGAATATTTGTTTCAAATAGAACAATATCTAAATTTTAGTATAGTTTATAGACAGATATATACAAGAAAGAGTTATCGAAAGTGTTTTTATAGTGTGAATAATTACAAAAAGAAACAAATTGTTTAGTATAGAATCTATCGATTTTTGATTAAGAAAAAATGTTGATTAGTAATATCTTTTCACCGATTGAATATACTTTATTAATTCAGCAAGAAGAACAAATATTAGATAATTGTAAACGAGAAATTTATATTTTAATAGATACAAAATAATGGAAAAAATTCGCAAAAGAATATAAATATCAATAAAATATCTTGTTCATTATTACAAATCAAAGTTTTTGTCGACCAGATGATGCCGATATAAAACTGTTGGGCTTATCAAACATTTCTAAACTTCTATTTTTCTTTTATTTCTGTTAGTGTTAGTCATACGGCAATCGTTACTACAACTACTCCTTAGATCTAATAAACAATTTCTATTATTCTGCCAGCATCATGCAATCTAGTTTTCTGTTATACATGCCTCCTTGAATTTGAATTTGTTTTTTAATTATACTAGTTCTATTTGATTTATTCAAGACATTTTTCAATAAATGATTATTCTAACAACAACTATATCTTATGATGTTTTGAATTATGAATATCCAATCAGTTTATTTCTAAAATCCATAGCCATACCAAGTTTCAAAATCAAGATGTAATTACAATATTTATCAAAAAGCAGGAAAAAACCTAGGTCAGCACAATATTTGTGAATTGTCGACAAGAATAAGAAAGAAAGAAACAACTATCAAAAAGAGATTTTTATTGATGCTGTGACCTTATTTCCAACGTTACACTACATTCTCTTTATTCTCACATCTGTTATCACCAAATTCTTAGTCATTTTAGATCATAATAAAAAAATGATTCAGAAATACATGAGTAGCTATCATGCATCTTTGAAACAAAAATAGTTTTCACAATAGTTTCAAGTTCATTGATTACAATAATAGATTCAGATGAAACTATCAATGCAACGACGTGATGATGTTGAATGTTTTCAAATATTTTATTCTTTTTTACTTATTTTTTCCGAGAGATCATCTATAAACGAAATTAACATGAATATCTATCTGTGCATTCTTTATCAATGTTGCTGAAGATAAACTGGCTACTGTTTAGGATGAGTGGATGTGGGTGTAAGTAAAAAAAGAGCGCTTGGCTGAAAATAAAAATGAGAAAAATATTTTAAGCACAAATAATAATGAAATAGTTTAGTGTCATGACAATTTACATAATAGAAAAAAAAAGTTATTAAATCGAGTTTTTCAAGTGAAAACTAAAGTTGTTTACATGTAATCGAGAAATTGTGAAGGATATTTGATGCTGTTATGTGGAATACATGTATAAAAAGATAGTATGCATCGATATAAAGCCTTGCAATAGCACAATATGAATAATTCACATCGAATCATAGCTCATATAAGAGATTCATATATAAATGGATGAATGCAAAAAAGAATCACTCGTTTCTAAACTGAACAAAAATATTACAATTGTTTTTATAATGCAAATAATTACAAAAAGAAACAAACTGTTTTATATGGTTTTCGTCAATTTCCAATTGAGAAAAAATGTTAATGAACAACACTATTTTATCGTAGGATACACTTTATCAGTTTAGGAAATGATGAATATTAAATAATTATGAAAGAGAAACTTATATTTTTGAAGAAGCCAAAACATCGAAAGATTTATTAAGGAATATAATCACCAATAAAAATCTTGTTTATTATTAAAAATCAGAGTTTTTATTGGTTAGATTATAGATATAAGACTGTCGGAGACAGTTCAGACTCTCATCTTTTTTTTATCAAACATTTCTAAATTTCTAGCCCTCTGTTTTAGGTTTCTATTATTGCTGCAAGTCACACTACAATCATTACTTCAACTATTGATTGAATCTCATGAATAGTTATTAGTTTTTCACAATATTACAATGAATCTAACGTAAACTTCTCTCTTAGGTTCTAATAATTACGTCTTCTTTGATTACTTACATAAATATCAAAAACAAGCATTGTACTATATTCTTTTTAAATAAACTAGCATAAAAATAAAAACATCAACATTTCTATGACATTGACTCTAAAAATCTGGTATTGCGTAGATTTGATTCTATTTTGAGTTATTCATTTTATACAAAGCCAACTGATGAGACTCTTAAGTAAGGTTCAAACTTGTCTTGGTGTGTTTGACTCACCTTCATCCACACCTAAATACTGATGAGTCTTTGAAATAAAGGTGAAACACGTCGTAGTAGATATCCTTTCAATCACTTATCCACACTCTAAAAAAAAGACCATTCCTGAACCCTCTGAAAAGGTTTCGTAGATTTTTAAAAGACTCTGAATCCGTTCAAAGGCCTAAATGCCGATTTAAAAAAATCTACGAAACCTTAAAAAGATTCGGGCGCGGGTACAACCTGTAAACCATGTATTGCAAAACTCCTTTTTAAGTTCCGTACAGCATAAAAAGGTTTCGTAGATATTTTTAGTCGTTTTTTAGACCTTTGAACGGATTTGGAGTCTTAGAAATCTACGAAACCCTTTCAGAGAGTTCAGGAGTAGTTCTTTTTTTTAGAGTGCACCCTACACCCTCACTCCGATACAGGATAATTCTCGATATCCGATCGGACTAACTTGGAAGTGTGGATATGAATGTCAGGCTTATATCCACGCTCAATCATACATTCTTCAGTCCTTTCGATCATGGTATATTGTTTTATATATTTGCCAAAGTCGTTGAAATTCATTACTCATCGACGTGGACATATAAACTATAAGCTTTCCCTGTTCATCGCGCTACATCATTTTATTATTCCAAAATCACGGATGAAGAAACCTAACCAACTGTTTAGAAACTTTTGAGCTCACATATGACCACAATTAAGATCTAGAGAATGGGTAAGTATGTGGATACGATTGTTTCTCATGCAGTTGTCTCTTATCTATACTCTCCAAGCATTGATCTGATATTTCCGATGAATAGATCAGGTTGTGATGTATGGTTTTAGATATATATTATAACGAAGTATTCCTTTCTTAAATACTTTTGCCGTTAACAATTGACAAGCGGTTAATGATTAATTGAGATAAAATATATGCGTTACGACTTCAATAATATTTATTTGGATTAAATAAAAGATACGCACAAAGAATAATATATATTAAGATAAATACACATAAATACAAACGACTACTCCACGAATATTGAAAAAAAAAGAATCTTCTAACCCACTCTTCCCTTACTCGTCTGTTCATCCTTTTATACCCACGTTCTCTCTCTCTCTCTCTTTTTTTCTTTACTCCCCCGTTTCCTTATATGAGATAGAAGGCCGAAGTCTACTTCTATTTTTTTCTGTACCAAAAGCCAAGGCTTATCTAAAAATGACGTAAGGTGAATATGAAAGGTTATAGTCTATTAGCACATTTTATAGTACGTTTTTAGTTAAATTGCAATAGCAATTATGTTCGAATGATTGGCATCACTGTAGTTGTGACACGTCTCATTCTCCATTTTCGAATACAAAATGAAATGAATTTAACCATGCGTGGTACTATCAGTTCCAACGCTGTTGTCAAACCTCCAATCAATCCAACTAATGCCGTGACAATATAAATTACACTATTCTTTGTCTGGTGAGTATAAGTACATTGTGATGGTTGACATTCATTGTAATAATTCTCATATATTATCGATGAATTCCATTCAGCGACCATCAACTGATTAATAAGTTCTTCAATAGTTGAGTTTTCTGAAAAGCGATCTAATAATGATTTGTCAAGAGCTATTGCGCTGGGTGGTACACTACTCACTGAAGGTTTTTTTAATTGATTTATACATGTTTGATCATAAAAACATCGAAGATCAGATTGAAGTAATGATTCAAATATATAACATCCGACATACATACCTGGCACAGTGAGATACACAGCCTTTTCATCAGGAAAAGAAATCCCAGCTTGGTAAGCACAGGTAGCCGAAGTCGCACAGCTACAATTCCCGTACTGTATTGGAGAAGACGAAAAGTTATTGCCTTGTCCATAGAATATATAATTAGTATTTATACTAGAGAATAAAGCGTTGCTTTGAGTTGTGCCTTGTACTGCTGATAGAGATGCTAAAAAGTTATGGGTCGTTGACGATATGAATTGATCTTTCAATGCTGAAATTTCTGATTCAAATACATCCGACGTTGTGACAAATGCACTAATATATTGAGTTGAATAGAATCGAGTTAGACTTTGTGAAATAATACCATTAATCAGCTCACATAATGTATTCAAAGCTTGAAATGTATACATACCCGTTACTGCAAAATTACCATATGTGACGCTAGTGACTGCCTTAAATTGGTAAAGAAAACTAACCCAAGTTGAACTGACAAAAAAACTACTGCACACTTGGTGAAATGTATATTGAAGATTAAGAAATGTATCATAGTTGATTGATATTTTTGTGCATGGACATGCCAATGTTTGCGGATATGTTGAATTTAATTGTGAGTATTGTGCGATAGTTGGTTCTTTAATATTAACAGTTTGAGTGATATTAATCAAGGAAGTGTATAAGAGAAGAATGACCAATGATGATATTAAGAAAACGATGAA